ACTTGTCTTTGATTCCCACTGCAACACATCCACCAAATAAGTTATTGTCATGGGTCCTCCTTTACTATCCATGTTATAATAGAGACGCCGCCAGTTTTATTGAGGTGTGGAGCGGTCTCAGTATATTTTCCTGCTTTTTTGCCCTTGACCAATCACATGCCTGTTTAACAACAAACTGGATAAAGCCATCACGTTCATAAAATAATTCCAGCACAGAGAAAGCAACACAAAATAAAATCGCGACAGTTTCGAAGGTCATTAAAACATTTCCAGCCGACAAGAGATGCAGATCAGCTGCACTCACGTCTGTGTCCGCCTGAGCGTCGGAGGAACTTGATGTTTAACAAGCTTTATTACCTGCTGTAATCAGCTGTTCCGCTTGTTTTGGAGAAGAGGAGACCAACTTCGGCTCTGTGTAAAAACTTCCTAACTGATGAAAACTTAAAACAACAAATTCGGACTCAGTATTTAGCGAAACTCCATGAGCTGTTCGCTGTAAGACCCTGGTCCCTTTGGTGGAAACGCAGTGAGTTCCTCCAAAGGTTCCTATTTCTGGGGTATAGTTCCTTTGGTCGAAACGTGGCTTTTGGCCATGATAAAAAGAGCGCCAGCCAACCTGAAATGATGGAAAACAATGTGGAAAATGTGATGGCATTCATATTTGTTTCATGTGTTAATGTGAGGAAGGTCACAGTCTCCTCATCGCCCCACACAGCTGATGTTTTTGTGTCTTCAGTGGAACAAATGGACAATGCGCATAAAATCAGACGGATGGAAACACACTTACTGTCTCATCGAAAAAAAACTTATGTTACAATTGTCACGTAAAAGCAACATTATGTAGTCATTTTATCTTAAATTAACAGCTTCAAAATACTTTTGATGGGTCACTGACTTGTAATAGTGTGAATAGCATCACTCTCGTTGTTATTCCAGGCCGGGTACACTTGCTTTGGCACTGTGTAAGATTGAAATCCCGGGCAGGATTTGTATCGTGACGACAGCGTAATGCTTTACAGTGCCACATCACACCAACAAATCTCTTTAGCACGCAAGCTATGAGAAGAAGCAAAAAGTATATAAAGTACAATCTGGATATTATGGCTGCGAAGAGACCAAAGAAGACATTATCGAAGAAAGAGAGGAAGAAAAAAAATTAGAGTGACCAAGCAAGAGAGTGGACAAGAGTAAATATGAAATGCTTAATGTTTGGCTGTGTCAGCAAAGTTGTCAAAAAAGAGGTTCAGAATCAGAGGTTCTAGCCATAAATCTTTAGTTGATGTTAGCAAACTTACTAGATAATAGGGCTTGGCAATAAAACAATAATGATAATTATCGCAATACAATTTTCCTCAATAACAATTAATAACAATAACAAATGTTCAATATATTGTCAATAAATGTTTGATTGAATTCATTTGGACCACAAATGAATTAGCACTTAATTTTTCTATTAAGACATTTATTTTGTTGAGGAAAAGGGGCTGAAATGATGATTTAGTAATCATATTTTTTGAAAAAAAGATTTTATCATAATGGTTTTGAATGTTCTACCTCAGAGATATGAGTTGATCCACTGTCTGGCATCAAGTGTTTGTCACGTTCTGACCATAAAGAAAAGTTTAACCACACAATTAATCATCTGGTTTCTTTAATTTTCACTCAGGAGCTAAAATCAGCCTTTAAACTTGAAAGAAATAATGATTTGACATTTGGTATGACATGGTGATAACATTTTTGGCCATATCGTCCAGCCCTACTAGATAACACTCTTGGGCATTAGTAATGATACTTTAAGTGCTCTTACGTTGGTTGCTGTCTAGCTTTGTTGGCTAGCTTGCCACCCAAGTTTCAGGAAGTAATATTATTATGTCCTGTGTTGGGCACTTACTGGATGTTGAACCCCTCAATTCACTCTGAATTGAGGGGTCTAACTGCAGACCTCCGCTGTGGAGTCGCTTCCGCTGCAGGCTCCACTCTCAAGTCAGCTCCACTGTCAGGACAGGAAATAACCATAAATAAACTGTTTTTTTACGTCCCCTGCAGGACGTAACGTGATGCATTCTCGGTTGTTTCGCTACTCTGCACGTCTTACAGTAAAGTGGAAGTGTCTCTATTCATTTTTAAGAAGTGGATATTTAGGATATTTACAGAACTATCGATACAGGTATACATGTTGTATTGCATGTGTGTTCATTTTTACAGATGTTACAGTTTGGTAGTCCATAGAGTCCAGCAGGGTTCTAGTTACGTGGGAGTTCAGCTCCCATAAGGAGGGTCTGAGCTCTTATGGAAACAGTAAAATCACGCATCTGTGGGGGTCACTAATGAATTTACCAGCAACCATTATTTTTAATCACAAATTTATTTTCATTCAAGTTATTATTTACATTAATAAGATAAACACTAAAATAAACAAGTTTTCCAAATGCTGCGCACCGCATAAATGTCATAATGATATGATTAATAATTAAGATGATACCATAAAGGGCGTATTTGCGGTGTCTCCTTGAGCAGTAGTCTTTGTTGGTTTATTTCAGGCTTTTGAAACTTAAACTTTGTTGCAGTATCGCAGACATCTGGGGCTGCGGTTTGTGTGAGAAAAGTGTTGGACCATGTAATGAGCAATAAAAGTCTCTCTGTCTGTCTCGGCTCAAGCTATTATTTAATTATTTATTATCTGCCGGTAGCATTCGTTATATTACAGACCCCCACAAAACTCAGCTGAATTGCTGAACTGTGGGCACTGGACTACAGTTATAATCTGAGTAAAATGCCATAGTATATTACACCTCAAAGGGAGATTATTAATGAGAAGTGTGTGGTGTTTTTTATATTTATTTATTTATTTGTTTTAAGAAGACTGGAACAGAGACTAAGTTACACTCTTAATCAATGACGTCCTGTTTTTCTGTGAATTGATTTGCCTAGCTTTATGGACGGAGTTAACGTTAAGCTAGACGGAGTTATTTTCACAGAATAAATAAATAGTGCCTATAAAAATAAAAAAATAAAAATATATATATACTGTTATTAGTTAAATTATTGAAGCGACATACAGTTTGCTTTGTTGCTACACTGGCATGTTAAGTGCTAAGTAGAATAGGCTCAAATCAGTATGCTATATTTAAGGAATTAGCCTACTAGTTTTCCCTTACAATGTTGAATGATTAATTAAATAGAAGTCAGCGACAAAATCCCTTCTCCCATAAGTGTCTACATCATTTAATTTTATAATTTTTGAATGCGTTTCCTGTCAAATCGCACAGTTTTATTTTGTATTTTTTGAGTGTATTTCCTGTCCTGACAGTGGAGCCTGCACCGGAAGCGACTTCACAGTGGAGGTCTGCAGTTAGACCGTCTTGAACGGTTGGGGCACCAAGTTGCACCAAAAAAAACAATCTTACATGACGTTGCTTTAACTCAAAGAGATTGTTTGGCATTCTTAATTTCCCCGTGTGCGTGTGTGGTCTTTCCTCTGTATCATATACTTGAATTCCATTTTTTTCAAAGGTTTAGAAGACTTATTTTGAAGGGTTTTAAATTTGATAACAGACAACATTTCACTGTAACGCCCCTTCCACCTATATATTTCAAACATGTAAATCACTTGATTGTTACATAATGCCCTGCTGTATTTAATTCAAATTTATTTATTAGGATAAACCCCTTGTGATGCACCCTCTCGTTTTCGAGAGGGTTCTGTGCTAAATTCTCTTATTCTTTTTTTCAGTGGCATAAGAAGCGGAAGCGGCGATCCTGTGGAGAATGTAAAGCCTGTCTCTGCAGGAAAGACTGCGGCACATGCGATTTCTGTATAGACAAACCCAAGTTTGGAGGCAGTAACAAGAAGAGGCAGAAGTGTCGACTACGTCAGTGTCAGAGACAGGCGATGGTAAGATCCTACCAATTCTGAACTAATTTGTTGTTTCTTGCATTAATGATGAAGTAGTGTTGTAGTTGTGAAATATCTCTCTGCTTATTTTTGTCAGAGACACTTGCTGCCTTTCCAGATGGGACAAGGTGACTATGGGCCAGATGGCTCGATGCTGCCCGGCAGGCCTAGACCTCACTACACATATAGCCGAAAGTCAAATTTAAAGAAAAACAAAGGATCGCAGTCTGGCTTAGACTTCACTGACAATGAAGATGATGACAGCAACTTTCAAGCAGTGAGTTACCACAGCCTTTGGCCTTCACTTCTTCTTATGTTTTCTTTTTGCATGCAGCGGTAGTGTTGAAGACAGTTGCATTCTCCTGCAGATAAAATCTCAACAAATGGTGAATGGTCTGTGCTTCTTAGCACCTTTCTAGTCTTTCAGATCACATTCACACACTGAGGCTAAGGTGCCTCTGCCATCAGAAACAGAAATACACTTTGGGGGTTCAGAATCTTGCCCGAGGATACTTCGGTATGCAGACATGGGGAGCCGGGGATCGAACCACCGTCTTCACAGCCGCCCCTGAAAACTCATTTATACTAGAAAGTTAAGGTAGAATTTCTGTTTTATTTAATTTTATTTACGGTGCTCATGTTTCTCTGTTGTAGATGAACTGGAGCTCCGAGCCTCCCAGTGGTAGTAAATATCCCTATGAGCTGAATTTAAGACACCACCAATCATCTATGCAGGTTTGAAAACAGATTATTATCTACATGTCACGTCACCGCTTAGCTCACCAAGCAGAATGTCAACTTGACTTTGTCTTTCAGCAGTTGAATCAGTTGGATTTCGACCAGCGGAACGGACTCCTTGACAGAATCTCTCACATCAGCCACCACAGCTCTGAACTAGTAAGTTTACATTCTTCCTTCATATTTGTTTTAGTAATAATGCACTATTTTTCTCCATTAGGTCAAAAATGCATTTTGTGATTGCTAGTAGTGTCTCTATGTTTCAAGTTCAGGAGCCTTTTGCTTGAGGTGTCCCACCGCTCTTTAGTAGGTAGTTGCAGTTTTCTGGCTGATTGTGTGCACATTCTTGCTGCCCAATGCTTATTAGCACTAAACCTGACTGATCATGAGTCATCTTGGCATCCTGTTTACACTCTGTTACCTTAATGTCCGTTTCCTTCTGAACCTGTGGTCATGCTGTTCTTTGGTCTGTGGCTCAGTGTGATGAATTCAGGCCTGGTTCCAACTCTGTTTGACCAGGATGTTAACCAATCTATGGCAATGCAATCTGTACCCAAATGTTCCATTCATGGTTGATGAATCTTTTTGCATGGGTACGCTTGTGTCTATTTGTGTTGTCTTGTCTCAAGTTGGAGTGCTGCTCCTCCCCCCCTCCTATGCTCTCTTGTTGGCATGTCGATGCGACAGAACTTAAGTGTGACAGTTTTTGGGGGCATTTATTTTCCATTGAACAGTTTGACAGTAGATGGAAACAGACAGGAGACATAAAGAGGATGTATGACATGCAACTAAGCCGGACAAAATCACACTGGGTATGTTTTCAATTATATGGTACGCATCTTAACCACTTGACACCAGGCCACCCCCAAATGATAATTTAATCTCCACAACACAGATGCAAATCACTGCGAGGCTGTTTGCCTGACACCCCTCTCTTCTGAGCTTTTCTTTAATTTGTTCTCGTGGTCAATATCTGATGCGTCATGACACAGTCAGTCACCGTTTCACATTTCACATGTGTTTTCTTGTGGTTTGGAGACCAGCCTTCGGGTGACACAGCCGCTGTCACTCGTGTAGTGTGTGACCCCCTGTCTACTATCAGTCATCAGTCGTAGTGCGAACGCCAGAACAACTTCAAGACTCCCGTCACAAGACGGCAAGTTGTGTAGTCTGAACAGCACGGCCATCGGCCGACGCTGAAAGGTGAGGTGCGCTATTCTGGAGAAATCCAATACCATTATATGGCGCGAACAGCAATACAGTAATGTAACTAACATTAGCTTTTGGTCTAGCAAACCTTTCACTACAGTTAGTGCTGCGAAGCTAACGTGCAGAGAGACGAGACGGTTTCCCAGAGCCAGGAAAATTGCTTCAGACATCACAACAACAGCATGTCTAGAAAGGAAGAGCAAGTCAATTTAACATTACCTGAAACAAAAATCATGGTGGGCACGGTTAGAACAGTGTTGTATGGCTCGGTCCGAGCCACATTGTTTGTTTTCCCATTTACAGAGCCAGGGCTGTGTACACACATCAGATTTTTTTTTTCCTCGCTCACACACACATACCACCTTACATATTCACCTTAACAAAGACGTGTATTGGATTAGAATCGCACCCCACCTTTTAAGTAGTTGAGTTCAGGGGGACTGTCATGCATATTCTGTATCTGTTTGCTGGCATTTTGTCTTTGAAGCTAAATGTAAAAATGAGTGACATATGTAAGCCCAAGACTACATGCTTTGTTTTCAGGCTGCACCATTCCATCATATAGAAATACTCTGCAATAGATGTCTTGTGCATAACTTTATACACATTTCTCCAAAATTGTGCTGCTGTCTTTATGTTGTTTAGTATGGTGTGCAGGAAGTCTGTGAATTAAGCCTCATTTTACTGGTTCTATTGCAAGTACTGATGGTTTAGTATTTGTGTCACGTATACTGTGTCTTGAATGCTGATGAGGCACATATAAAGACACTTAGTTTGGGGATTTTAAATTGAGCAACAAAAAATCTATTGGCCAAAGATCCAACCTCGCCCAATACCAAACCCACTTCATGCTGATTAAGCCCCTGCTTGCTTGCTGCTCAGTGGCTAGCAAATGCCTGTAAATCATCTCGATCTTCTCTGCTCTTCATTCTCTTTCTGTTCTGACTGCTGTCCCATAACTTGAATCTCTGCAATGCTTCATGCCCAAGTCAGCTGTTGCACATCTAAGCTGGTTACTCTTCTGTTACCTCAGTGGCTGCTGAGATGCCAAGCTTTAGCAATCTATGATGTAGCTTATTGTTGATACAAGATGGCAAATGTCAGCTCGTCACATATTTGCAAACATCTTCCTATACACTAAAGAATTATTTAATATGATATAATATGCTAACATATATTCAGTTGCGAGTTTATTAGGTACACCTAACCAAAGCTAATGCAGTCTTCTATGAAAGCCCTGCAGTAAATTGTCCTTTCATGAAGGTTAAAATTAAACTATTTTAAAGAGGTTTTGACTCAACTGTATGGTCACCTTGAAGGTTATGATTTCTAGTGTTGCTGAATTATGTTGTGCTACACTGAGAGGTGTTCAATATTTTGTCCACCCCATTTATATCAATAAAGCAGGGATGTGATTTTTACGGATTAATCCGGAATTCCGGATTTTCCGACCTGAAAATGTGATGCACGTGAATCACGCAGATCTGTAATAATAATAATAATAATAATAATAAAAATAAAAAAAAGAGAACCTGGATTAGTGAAATGGAAAGGATCTAGGTTGACGTGTGTGAAGTTTTCTTCCTTTCTAAGTATCAAGGATGTTCGTTTACGCTCAGCTGCCAATTCCACACCTGCGCAGTGTGTACCACAGGCGCTCTCACGCATCAGTGGTATGTAACATGTTGGGCAGCAGTAGGCCTACTGCAAAATTACTTATCCCAGTAAAGAGTAATGTAACGGATTACTATTTCCAAAACAGTTGTATTATTACAGTTACTAATCCAAGTAACGGTGCGCTACTGAACGCATCATCCCTGACATGACCGCGCTGCAGCTCAGCGGCACCGGACCTTATGTTGTTAAAGTCAGCTGTTAGCCAAGAAGCTAAAGGACAACTGGTATTTTCGACAGCTGTAAGTAACGTCATTGCCATTACTGTGTCACAGTCATAGATGCAAAGAACATTGTCGTCCGTTGTAAACTTTGTGCGACCAGCAAAAGTTTTCAGCCACGAACAGTTCTACATTTATACTTAGGCTAATTGAAGCATCAGCTAAAGCAGCACAGCAACGTGAAACTCCGAGAGAAACTCCGGCCACTGCTGCCAGTGATGCTTGGACTCATTGGGAGAGAGTGGCGTTATATTAGGCCATCACCCAGTAGTGGGCCTGAGTAGAGTAGCTAATATTACTTTTCTAAGCAGTAGGTCTATAGCCTATGCTAAGTAACTAGTAGGTAATATTATTTCTGAGTAACTTGCCCAACACTGAGTTGACAATAAGGATCAGATAAATTGGGAATGTTTTGATTATTGCTTGTTAGAAGCTATGTCTTGTTGTCTATTGATCACTCATGTAGCCTATACACTTTGCTGTGTGAATGGTTGCTTTTTAAGTCGTCCTTATGTTAAAGGCTTTGGCACGTTATTAATTAATTTCTTGTGAATGGTTGTGACAAGGTTTAGGCTATATAAGGCCTTTTTACACGGGTCGCTCCGCGCTCCTCATCAACAGACAGGCAAACAAGTGCTCCGCGAGGTAACCATGGCAATGGCTTCTGTGACTGGCGCGATCCCGTTAAACCGTCGCGGTCGTTGTCGTCTCACGCACACGCCCGCCCGCTGCTAGAGTTGAAATGCCAAACTTTTCCTACAGTCTATGAACAGATAGAGACTGATCAGCTGTTTGAGTTTCCTGAAGAATATAAGTGTTTCTTTAACAGTCAGGCCACCAGGTCTTAAACAGGCAACAACCTTTGCTGCTGTCTCTTATTCATTAAAAATCATCTATTAACTTCAACTGAACTAATTTGAAAGTTAGTAGTTACATTATTTAGTTATAGACTCAATTATTTCATGTTTCATGTTACACATTTAGCTGTTGAAGTTTGGTAAAAATTATACAAAATAATAATTATTATAGAGGTTGCGATGGGGCAGTGGATTAGACCCTTGTCTTTGATTCCCACTGCAACACATCCATTAAATAACTTACTGTCATGGTTCCTGCTTTACCTTCTATGTTCGCTCCGCCGCCAGTTTAATCGGGGTGTCGGGTGGTCTCAGTATATTTTCCTGCTTTTTTGCCCTTTGCCGGTCGCATGCCTGATAAAGGTAAACAGAATACTAAAAACTACATCTTGAACTTTATAACCTTCCTGAAGGTGGGTCATATTGCAGGACTGCTGTATTTGACTGTATTAGTTTGAGCTCAGTCTGCCTACAGTAATACATTGGCAGCTGAGTGTGAGCATGTAGTGCCCGCTCCATGTTCTAATAATCCAAACAATAGACACACATGTTTAAACTGAAGCTTAAAGATGATTTGATACAATGAGCTTAGCTTAGTTGAGCTCATGAGTTTACCCTTTTAAACCAGGACCAGCTCAGCAGATGGAATGCAGAGAAATGCCACGCAGGTAGAGATGGTCAGAAGCATGTTGAGGAAGAGGAAGAGGAGGAGGAAGAAGAAGAGGAGTTGCCCATGGTAAGTGTCCTGCTGAGACTTTATAGATGTCTGAATAGCCACAAATAATGCTAAACCTTTTGTGCACTTGTTGCCGTTCTGTCGCTCTCTGCAGATCACACAGATCTTCAGTTTGGCTGATAACCCAGCAGGGAGTGGTGCGGACATTGAAAACCAGCTAATGAAACTGCTCCACTCTTTGCGCTCCTCTGTACTGCCAATCCTGTGGTATGCCATAATGGTGGAGGGCCCGCAGCTGCAGCTCATCCAGTGCTCTAAACAGTCGGGCATGACTGACACCATGGTGCTGATCGACCCAGGCTTCTGCTATCAGGTCACCGTCCAAAAGCAGCCGCTGCTCCCCACCCACCCGCTGTACGACAAGCACCCAGCGTGCTTAACCTCGGTGACTGAGGTGGTCGACCTGCTCTTGGGGCTGGAGAAGTACGTTGTGTGCCAGGGACTGCCCCCCAAAGATCCATTATCGAATGAAGACCCACTCATACTCGAGCGGGCGTCAACATGTGATTTCTTGGTTAAGAGGAAAGTGAACATCTGTACTAACTGCAGAGCGCTGCAAGGACTTTAGCTTCAGCAGAGAGAGAAGGAAATCTGTGGCCGCAATGGAGACCACCCATTTTCTTCTTTTTCTTTCTGTCTTTCTTTTGGTGGTGATAAAGGATGTTTTACAGATTTACCTCTGGACTGTAGTAGTATGATTTGATTATTTGAAGAATCACCAAAGGCATTCCCGGTGCTGTGACATTATAATCCAGACGTGTTTCTTCTCAGATGTTTTTTTGGTGAATGGATTTTCTGCTAACTGTTGTGTCCGATTTTGGGCAGTGGGATGGGTAGAGCTGAATTCTGTTAGTCCACTGTGTGGTTAGTGTGCGGTTGGTTGATTCACACCTTTACTTGAGGAATCTACGACCCTCGCCCTCTCACCGTTACTACACTTTTTGAGTGGTCATTTAACCCCAAATGATGTCTCTTTCAGCCCAAAAATGTTGTTATATGTTCTGCATCTTAACATGCCAACAGTGTTGCCATGCTACATGTATGATGTGTACACTATTTAATAGAGTAAACCAGAAGACTTTTGGACAAAATAATTCATAGTAAATGATGTAAAATGATCACTGCAGGAGCTGTGGTGGATTTCTTAGTGTTTGCTTGACTCGTAGCATTTAAGTGAATTGGTAGGTGCAGGAATGGAAAAAGGAGATTGTGAAATATGCCTTGTATACCAGACCCTGATTTCATTAGACAGATTTCACTGTTTTATATAAAAAAAATGTATTCACTTCCCTGTAGACTTATGCTTTTTGAATAAAATATTAGTGGAAAAAATAAAACTAGCAAAACAAAAAAGGGGCGGGGGTGAGTACCCCTTTTACTATGACACACGTAAATCATTAGGGGAAGGGAAATAATTGGTTTCCTACAATGGGTTGAATATAGATAACCTGTATCTAATATGACTTGTGTATCTTAATGTAACTGGAAAAACCCAATTGAGAAGGATAATAGAACCTTTTTTAGGACACAGAATATCCCATGGAGCCCAAAGGTCAGTCATGATGACCTACATGGCTCCATGGCTGAGTTGGGAAACAGTGTTCAGACAACTGTTGCTTTAACAGTTGCAGCTTCATGCCTGAGATGCAAAGAGAAAGCCACTTTTTAAAAAAACAAACAAACATAACTTCAGGACTGAAGTGATGCCTGTGATGACTCCTAGAAGACGTGGGAGACTCAAGTTAATGAGGGTTCTGTGGTCAGATGGGTGAAAAATCAGTAATGTTACTGTCCTGGGGTCCAGATGTCAGTTCTCTCTAACATTACCATTGTAAGAAGTCTAATTACATCCACTCTGACACAGGGTTTTAAAAATGACATGAGCAGGGGGTAGAATACTTTTTAAAAAGCACTGTAATTTCAATGCAGTAAAGCTGCACATTTAAAAACAAATTAACATTTTACAACTAACAAACGTAAAAAAGCTTTATTACATTTATTTTCAAATTACTCCCCTAGACAGTATTTCTAGCAGAAACCCTAGAGATTCTTTTCCACATTCATCATCGTTTTGGGGCTCACAAGACATGAGCTTGATTGGCAGATTTGACATGCTTGAAACTGAACAAGACCGAGTTCAGAGTATGTACAGTTCTTTTAGTATGCTTGTTCAGTGTATTTTCCACAATTATATCCTCATATGAAACTGGTAATGTGGCCAAAACGCACATAGGATGACCTTTATTAGGTTGGTAGAAGTGTGTGAAACCTCTGTGTGTTTGTATATTTATAAACCTTTTGATTGATTCAGTTTAAATGATGTAAGTTTTTCTCCCGTCCCCCTCTCCATATCAGATTTTATTTTGTTTGTTTGGTTTCCTCAAGTAACTGTGAATATTTTGAAATGTTTGGGATCAGTTAAATATTCTTTTAAAAATATATATTATTATTTAGTCTTGGAATGAAAACATTGTCTGTCTGTCTTTCTGAAGGCAGTGTGCAAATAAACATTTTTTGCGGAGTTGCTTTTAATTGCAGTTATTAAATATATCTGTTGGCCCTGACTACACCTGAAACACACACACACACTGAGAATAATGAGTGTAGTAGTAGTAATAGTTATAGTGTTCTCTTACTCAGGTTTTAAGTGATAGTCATACATATGACCAGAGCTGCTACTTCATGGGTATATCTAGCTATATAACCATTATTTTTTGGAGTATATGATGTGATGGGACTACAGTAGACTGAGCCTGATCACGTTCCAGTGACCATCAACAGTGATTTTACTTGTTGGTTGAGTTATGGGTTTTAATTTTAAGCACTGATTCAGTGGGAACCACAGCCAATGCCTTTAAATTAAGCCAAACTGATATTTTATATTGCTTCAGAGACTTCTATCTGTGGTCCACCAAGGTCTGTGTGTTTGAAGTGAAGCATATCTGAGAAACCAGTTTAGTTGATTTCCAGCAGTAGTTCTCAAAGTAGGGTCTGGGGACCCCCAAGGGTCCTTGAGGGGTTTCCAAGGGGTCCCTAGCAAAAAGGGGAATGGTTTATTTTTGTTATAATTCCATCCATAAGTAACAAAATGACAGAATGTATGACTACTTAATGGGTTTTATACACTTTCTGTAATAAAACATTGTAAAAGTTAAAATCCTATCAGATGGGGGACCCTGGGACAAAATCTTTTCAAATGGGGGCCTTGGTCTTGTGTCAGTTTAGGGGTCCTTGAAAAGTATAAGAACCACTGACATACATTAGCTTGTTATGTATAGGCCTATTGGTAGTTATACATTGGTGTTCTTTTAAACAAAAGGAAAGGCTCCATTTGAGCCTAAAATGTTAATGTTAAATAATCAAACACTAAAAGTTAGCTTATGTTCATTTGAACAAGGCTTTTATTGTGAATGCTATTACGGATAGCAGTTGTTAAAGTTTTTAAGTTGTTTTTAAATAGAATTTTTAAATTTCCAAATAATCTTCTTTACTCGTTGAATTTAATAGATATATTTAGTCAATTATCTTTTTATAAGGACAACACATAAACATTTCTGTAAATGTGCCAGTGTTTTTAGCCCACTGGCTAGTTTTCACCATTTTGGACATGGTATCTTAGATTAGTCACAATTCACTAATAGTAGCCTACTGTTAGTTTTATACACATGTGGGTTTTAGCTGTTTTGACTGGATTAGAAGGTCCCGCACATTGACTGAAAATATAGGCCGACTGTTTTAAAAATGATCCTGGCAGAATAATTCATAGTCTAGGAGAAGAATTCCAATTTTTGTTGTGTTTTTTCCCTAT